GATTGGAACATTCGGTCTAGGTTCATTGTTTTGCAGGCAGATGTCCAAATTTTCTAACACTCTTGGAAAGACTGTCCTTTCTCCAGTGAAGTGCTTTTGCATCTTTGTGAAAAATAAGTTGGCTGTACTTGTGTAATCTATTTCTAGATTCTCTGGTCTATTCCATTGTTCTATATATGTATCCTTCTGCCAGCACTACATGGCTGTGATTACTGTGGCTTTATAGTAAGCATTAAAATTAGTTACTCTAATCCAGCTGTTATGGACTGAATATTTGTGTCCCCCTCAAATCCATATGTTGAAGCCCCAGCCCCAAGGTGACACTGGAGATAAGGCCAGTGAGGAGGTGCTAAAGGTCCAATGAAGTCATAAGGGTGGGACCTTACAGGGCTGATGCCCTTATAAGAAGACAAGACATCAGGAGTGCCCATGCACCGAGGAAAGGTCCTGCGAGGACACATTGAGAAGGCAGCCGTCCGTAAGCCAGAAAAAGAGACCTCCCCAGGAAGTGAATTGGCTGGTGCTTTGATTTTGGACTTCTCAACTTCCAAAATTGTGAGAAATACATCTGTGTTAAGTTACTCAGTCCATGGTATTTTGTTACGGTAGTCTGACGAAATTAATGTCCTTCAACTTTATTCTTTTTCAAAATTATTTTGGTTAGTTTTCTGAATTTCTGTATGAATTTAAAGTCAGCTTGCCTATATCAACAAAAAACCTTTTTGGGATTTTGGTTCTGATTTATGTGGCATTCAATCTGCATATCAGTTTCAGGAAAATTGACATTTTTTTTATGTTGAGAATTTCTGTCCATGAACACTGTATGTCTCTCCAATTGTTTAGGCTTTTTTAAAAAAAATTCTCATCAGCATTTTGTAATATATATTTATCTTGTACAAGTTTTGCTAGATGTATATGTAAGTATTTCATTTATTGATACTGTTTTAATTTTGATTCCCAAATTTTTCTTGCTAGTATAAAGAAATGTTCTTTCTCTGTGTGATGATCATATATTCTGTGAACTTATTCCACTGACTTATTAGTTCTAGCAGTTTTTCCTGTGGACTCCTTGGGATTTTCTATGTAAACAGTTGTGTATTCTGAGAACAGGGACAGACATATTTCTTCCTTTGCAATCCCTATGTCTTTTATTTCTTCTTCTTGTTTTGTTCTGAATCTGTCCTCTAGGATGATATTCGATAGAAGTGGTGAGAGTGGACATCCTTGCATTTTTCCCCATTTTGGGGAAAACATTTAACCTTTACCATTAAATATGATGTTAGTGGTAGGTTATTTTAGAAGACTTTTATCAGATTTAGGAAGTTTCCTTCCAATCCTAGTTTGCTAAGAGTTTTGATCATGAATGAGTGTTAAATTTTCTCCAATTCTTTTTCTGCATCAAAAACAATATGATCATATGGTTTTCTTCCTTATATTGTTAATCTGGTGGATTACTTTGCTTCGTTTTCAAATATTAATCCAGCCTTGAATTCCAGGAATAAACCTTAATTGATTGTAGTGTATGATTTTTTAAACATATATTGTTTGATTTATTTTGCTGTGTTTTTGAGAAGTTTTTGCATCCACGTTATTGAGGAATATCCATCTGTAGTTTTTGTTCCTGTACTATTTCTGTTTTTGGTATCTAATATGACCTTCATAGCATTAATTGGGAAGTGTTCCTTCCTTTTAAATGTATTGGAAGAGATTTTGTAGAATTGATGTTCTTTTGTCTTAATTTCATTTTTTATTTATTTATATTTTTACATTTCACGCTTTTTAATTATTTATCTTTAATAAAAACTGTGTGCATATATATAAAGTGTACAACGTGATATTTGATACACACAGTGGAATTATGACTACAGTCAAGCTAATTAACATATTTCTCTCCTCACATAGTTACCATTGTGTGTGGGTGTGTGGGGGGGAGCGCCTGAAATTTACTCTCTTAGCAAATTTCCAGTGCACAGGACAGTCTTATTACTCATCATGCTCTATTTTGTCTTTAATTGTTTGGTAGAATTCTCCAGTGAAACCATCTTGACCTGGACGTTTCTTTTTTTGCTATTTTTTTAAACAATTAATTCAACTCCTCTAATAGTTATAGGATTATTCAGATTATCAAAGCAATCTTGGTGGTGTTTCAATTCTTTCAGTTGTTTTTGAGACACTTTGACGACTTATAAGAAATAGATATGTGTAGAGTTCTTTGTGGTATTATTTCCGTTTTATATTTTTAATATCTGTAGGCACTTCAGTGACATTTCTTCTTCCACTCTTGATATGGGTAATTTGTGTGTGTATGGGGAGGGGTTCTCTTTTTTCTTCTATCTTGCTAGAGATATATCTATTTTATTCATCTTTTTGAAGAAGCAGTTTTTGGCTTCTTTTTCTCTGTACTGTTTTTCCATTTACAATTTCATGGACTTCTACTCAACTAGAGTTTGCATTGGTTTTATTTTGCTCTTCTTTTCTTAGTTTCTCATGGTAAAAATTCAGAGTTTTGATTTGAATCTTTTCTTTTTTTCTTATATAAGCATTTAATGTTGTTCATCGTCCTCTAAGAACTCTTTTAATTGCATCTTGCAATGTTGTGAAATGTTTTATTTTGACTTTCATTCAGTTCAGAATATTTTCTAATTTGCCTTATGACTTCCTCTTCAACCCATGTGTCTTGTTTAATTTCCACATGTTTAGAAATTTTATTCTCTCTCTGTTATTGATTCCTAGTTTAATTCTATATGGTTCAAGAACATGGTGAGGAAGATTGGCCCTGGGCTAACATCTGCGCCAATCTTCCTCTATTTTGTATGTGGGAAGCCACCACAGCATGGCTTAATGAGCAATGTGTAGGTCTGTGCCTGGGATCCAGACCCATGAACCCTGGGCCACCAAAGTGGAACATATGAATTTAACCACTATACCACCAGGCCAGGCCCAGAACATGCTTTCTATTGTTTAATAGTTTTAAATTTGATAAGGTTTGCTTTATGTACATTTATCAGAAAGTTAACTCTTAATCCAAAACCATTGAAGGCCATTTGCTATGTTCATGACATTGTGTTGAAAGATGGCAAATTACTTTCAATTCTCCACTGCTTTTTAGCCCCACATCCCTGCAAATCTATTCCCTCTGTTTACAACCTCTCCCTTCATTATTATCTACCTAGTTATACAACGACTATCCAGTGTGGATCACTCAGTGGCTGACAGCTTGCACCATCAGGGATAACTACTGAATAAACTGGAAGTCACTGGGGTCACCACAGCAAAAATAATAGAATGGAACATGTGCCAGGCACAGCAGTTGTGGTTTCCAATTATTTTCTTTAATTCTTCTCATAACAAAATCCGTCAGGTAGGTATAGGGACTACTATGTTAAATATGACGAAACTAAGACTTACAGATGTTAGACAATTTTCCCATTGCCAAAAATTAAGTAAATATGGCTGATGAGATTTGAAGTTGAGAGTCTTGGCACCAATGCCTGTAACTCTCAACTCTGGGGCCACTCCTCCAGCCCCATCGCAGAGACTGGAGAGGACACAGCCTCCTGTGACCCAGCAAACATCCCCACTAAGCTGGGGTTGTCAGGACAATGCTGGAAGATAAAACCATGATGATACACTATGGGGAAGCAATTTTTTTAGAAAATTAGAAAATAAATTTTTTGTTTTCTTGAACTTCTTGACTTCCCAAATTTCACTGTTGGTAAACATTCTTTAGGGGCCGACCCTGTGGTCAAGCGGTTAAGTTCGAATGCTCTGCTTTGGCAGCCCAGGGTTTCGCCAGTTTGGATCCTGGGTGCAGACATGGCACCGTTCTTCAGGCCATGCTGAGGCAGCGTCCCACATACCACAACTAGAAGGACACACAGCTAAAATATACAACTGTGTACTGGGGAGCTTTGGGGAGAAAAAGCAAAAAAAAAATAAAAAGAAGAAGAAGAAGAAGATTGGCAACAGTTGTTAGCTCAGGTGCCAATCTTTAAAAAAAAAGCACATTCTTTGGCTCCCAAATGGGAGACAAAAGCAGATACCATGACACAGTTGGGCTCTCCTCATGGCCCCTTCCTTCATGATTTAACCTAACAAACGTGTATTGGGTCTAGGCACTGTGACAAAAGCTGTATCTAGGCAGATAAGTGAGTTAAACATCCAGCCCCACAGTGGGCTGTGGGATCCTGAGCAAGTCATATTGTCTTCCTATATCCTCATCTATGAAACGAAAGGCTGGTCTTTACATACAGAGGAGTCAAAGTATTACAGAAAACCTGTGTACAACAGTTAGGAGAGTGCCTGGCACTTAATAGGCCTTATTAATTGGTTGCTATTTTTGTTATTAATTCATGATTCTTGTATTCAACACACCTTCAGAGGAGGAGTAGCATAGTATTCATGTTTAAAATCAAGAACATGGAAAAGTGGTTATTTATCTAATCCTTCAACATTCATGTATCCAATATTCATCAAGAACTTACTACACACAAATAAAGAATTATTTGAGTCACTACCCTGGCACTTAAGTAAAGGAGACATGAGATAAAGGAGGCTGACTTTTGACATTTACTCCGAAAATGTGGGAAGGAAGTTCCTAAGGCAACGTCTCTGTCCTGTGAGGGAAGGCCTGAGTGGCCTCAGAGGCTGATTAGGTAGGAATTCTCAAGAAGCAGGGAGTCAGGCTGACTGGACGTTTCTGGGGCGGGCCAACCTGGAAAACACAGGGCTGTTAACCTTGCAAGTGAGGAGATATAGAATAAACAACGATTTTTCTTTTTTCTGGAAGAAGCTGATGAGTTCAGATTTAGACCTATAGCCAGTGAAAAATCTAGACACATCTCACCATAATTTGCCATTGCAAAAATAAATTAAAATAGAATAAATGAATAAAAGTACTTTATGTCTTCATAGGAAGAAGCTAAAATAGATTTATTAATCAACCAATCTAAACATCCAACAGTGAAAGAATGGCTAATAAAATTATGGCATATTTTATACATTAGAATTATGACAGAAAAAAGGTTAATAAAGGTATTGTAATAACATGTAAAATTGTGAGGTATAATAACAAGTCGAAAGAGCACAGTAAGAGGTGGCATATAGAACATAACTTTATTTTTGTGAAAATATAATATGGCGGAAACAACCTGGGAATAACTAAGCCCACAGCTGTTGCTTATGGGTTGTTGGACAATGGATGATGTTTTTCCTACACTTTCATAATTTTTGGTCCTTTGCAAGTTTTCTATAATAAAAATACATTAATTTTCTAGTAAGGCAAAAAGCAGTGAGGATATCTACAACTCTGTGTGGGAAGAGTGTAAAATCGTCTGTGTGATAGTCACGGCAAGAATACACGGGTAGTATCTATGGACACAGACAACTGTTTACTCCTGGAAAATTGATTAATGTACGGGTTCTAAGCGCTCTGTATTTAGCCAGAGAGTACTACAGGCTTTGACTAAATCCCTGTAATGAAATTAATAAAAGGTCGGTTTATTCTATGTTGGCACACCATTTGGCATGTGAAGCCTAGTCCATGCGAAGAGAAGCAGGCCATTTCCTTGTATGGAAGGCCGTGCATGCAGCAAAAAAAAAAAAGAAATTACAAATTTATCCTCCACACTTGCTTGCTATGTGAGCTTAGTAAGTTCTTCTCCCTTTCTGTGTCTCTTTTTCCTTAATGCTAAAATACTTGGATAATAATACTTATAAGAATATTTTGAGGGTTGAACTAAAATACAAGATAAAAACGTCTGGAGTAACGCCTGCTGTTAGTTTCCGCGAATGATAGCCATCGCTATGTTTCTGTATATATGCGATTATGTATCTTCCTGTCTACTTAGTCTATTAGTTTGAGTACGACATACAACATAGAGTATGTGAATTCAGCGTGGGCAGTGATTGTGTTGGCTTCGTTCAACACTGTATTCCCACCACATAGAGAAGTGCCCCACAGAGAAGGCTGTCAGTAAATACTTGTTGAATGAATGAGTGATAGTGAAAAACGCAGTGGAGAATTGGGAATGAAGCAGTGATTAGTCCACAGACAGGTGTTGACCCAAGGTGTCCATCAGAGTGACTCTTTGACCCCTGTGGGGACACTGGGAGGTAGGCTCTCCACCTTTGCAGATGTGCTTGGGCCACTGCCACCGGCCTTCCTGAAAGCAAGAAGGAGGCCACTGTTAAGATGAAGCTGACATGATAAAAAGCAAGAGGAATAGACAGATAGAAACGAGGTCCTTGGTGGCCCTGTGGAGCCACTGGACCAGCCTTCTCCAGAAGCCCTCCCTACCTCCGCCTTTCCAGGTCCCGCTGTTGTTTATAACAGCTGGAGAGGGGGTTTCTGTTATTTCCAACCAAATGCATTCTAGATGAAATCCCTGTTGACTTGTAGTTTTCTCGCCTTTAAAATGGGAAGAAAGATAATTATTCTATCAGAGATTATATGTTCATTTGAATCAATCCACTATTCCCACATGAATGTTGTTTTGACAACCACCCCAAAATTCAGTCATTTAGTGGTAAACCTCTACTCTTGTGACCATCAGTCTGCAGGCCCTTAGCTTCAGATGGCTAAGTGATCTAGGATGGGCTTGGTGGGGAGCAGGCCTGCCCTGGAGTATATGGACAGCAGGCGAACATTTTGTGCAGGGCCCTGACTGGATAAACAACTTGAGTCATCCTAAGTCAGTGTGTCAGGACCATTCTGGCAACACAATCACTCATGATCCCAGAAAAGAAAGCTCGCACTGCCCAGGAGAGCTCCTCTGTGTTCGGGGCCAGTACAGGCTGCGCAGTTCTGCTTCAGAGCACGTTTGTCTGGGTTTGTCTCTACGCTGTGGGATGGAGGCCTGGTACATTGTCTCATTCTGGGCCTGAGCTAAAGAAGCAATGGCTACCTGGGGTCTGCTCTTCTTAGCTATCATCATTAGTATCATCATCAGAGCGCAACCCTCACGCGAAAGCACACAAGTACATTTAGGGCCTCTGAAATCCAATGGGTTAACCCAATCACATTGGAAATTACACTCTGGCCAAAGCAGGAGCGGTTGGGGACCGATCATCTGCTGGATAATGATCTGAATTGTCACATCAGTCAGTCATTCATCCATTTAACAAGCATTTACTGAGTGCTGATTAGGTCCTAGGCCCTATTTAGGGTCTGGGCACACAATGATGAACCAGATGTGGTCCTGGTCTGCAAGTTCAGTCTAGGAGAGGAGACACTCACGTGAGCCCACAATTCAATACAATGAATCAGGTGCTAATAATAATTTACTGAGCATGCAGCATAGCCAGAATCTAAACACTGTGCATGCCCTAACTCACTTAATGCTCTCACCAGCTCTATGAGGCATAAAGGGGTTAAGTAATTTACCCAAGCCTATGCAGCTAGTTTGTAAGCACAGGACTCAATACCACACAACCTGCCTCTAGAATCTTCAAGCACAGCTGCCACAGTGTGTGTACAATTAAAATAGCACCGAGTGAAAATTTGGGTGGGAAGGTGAATTGTCAGCTACATAAAAAAATACCATATAGAAGTCAATCATTATTTTTACTGTCTTTCAAATATTTTTTCAAATAGATTTACAGAATGTCAGAGTTGGATAATGTCTTAAAGAGAATCTGGTCCACTCTTCAAACATTTTTTTTTTTTAAAGATTGGCACCTGAGCTAACAACTTGCCAATCTTTTCTTTTTGCTTTTTCTCCCCAAAGCCCCCAGTAGAGAGTTGTATATTTTTAGTCGTGGGTCCCTCTAGTTGTGACATGTGGGACGCCACCTCAACATCGCCTGATGAGCAGTGCCATGTACGTGCCCAGGATCCGAACTGGCGAAACCCTGGGCCGCCAAAGCAGAGTGTGCGAACGTAACCACTTGGCCATGGGGCCGGCCCCAGCTCTTCAAACATTTTGTGGATTAGGACGTGAGGCTTGGGGATGAGATCCTGCCCTGGTTACACAGCTGGTTAGCAAGTCAGAGAAGAGAACCCAGCGCTCTCATGAGCAAGCCCAGGGCTCTGGTGGCTGTATCAGCTACCTTTCTAGAAGATGGCATGCTACCTGCACTGAGAATTAGGTTGATGCTACGGAAAAGAGATGCAGTCTAACTCCCTGATGATGGGGCCTGGGCTTACAGGACAGATGTCCATTTATCAACCTGTGGCCATTTAAGAACAGTGTTGTTGACATCTGACCACTGGGTCCCTCGGCTTGAGCCCCCTGCCTACCAGCCACATCTCTCTGGTTAGCATCATGGGAGTGGGCTGGAAGGTTAGCAGGTCATGGAAACCGGATCATCTTATCCATTCATTCCACACTAAAAATGGCTTTTTGAGATATTTTTGCAAGCTCAAAAACTGTTATAGGGCAGTGGTTATCAAGCTTTTTGATTGCAGAATGTTTCTATACTCTTTAAAACTATTAAGGATGCCAAAGAGCTTCTGTTTATGTATGTTAATATTTATTATATTAGAAATTAAAACTGAGGAAGTTAAAATATGGATTAATTCATGCAAATGTGTAACAATAAGCCACTCATTTATTCATATAAATGACATATTTTGATGAAATAACTTTTTAAAATAAAAATGTTTAGTGAGAAGAGAGATATTGTTTTATATTTTTGTAAATCTCTGCAATGTGTGGTTTAATGTACAAATGGCTGCATTCTCTTATCTGCTTTTGCCTTCAATCTGATGCTATGTGCTGCTTAGTCTGCAGTGTACAAAGTAACAGAGTATGAAAAGGTCACTTATGTGGTTTCAGATTCCACACTGCAACAATCATTTGAGAAACTACCGCATGTCAAACTTTAGAGTAGCTTGAAAGGAGATTAATTACCGCTTAAATTATTAATTACCTAAATTAGCCAATTATCTAGAAGTGCAACTAAAATATTCCTTTTTCCAACCCATATCTGTGTGAAACTGCATTTCTTAATACACTTTAAATAAAAGTCAAGCTCATGGTGGCAGATGCAAGTTTTCTAAACTTTAATCTCTGCTTATAAGCTTGAATTTTATTACTGGCAACAAATGACGTCAGTTACGTTCTTCAAAGTGACAGCCTTGCTTAGTTTATTTTTCAGAAAATATCTCTCAAATATTCAAATCTGAAAAGAACATTGTCAATTTTTCTTTCAAGTAAAGAGATCGTTCAATGAAAAGAGCTGCTAGTTTAGCTTGTAACTCAGACAAATGCACAAGTGCTTTTCCTTGAGACGACCAGCACTCATCAGTATGAGTGCCTCTCATTTTATCACATAGAATAGTAGGAAGATGTCCACGCAATGACTGGGATTTCATTAAGATTTTTCATTGTTTCCCCAAGGACATTCGCGGGTGAAGCTGGTATTTTTTGTTTGTTTTGTTTTACTGCGAATGTATGATGAGGAAGAATACAATGACTACTATATCAGTTTATTGCTTCCTTGATTCATACTGAGAAACCAGAAGTTTTACTCGCTATTGCCTTTACATTGTCACTGCAAATATTAACCCAGTGAAAATGGCAATAAGAATGAAAATGCTGGGGCCTGCCCAGTGGCCGAGTGGCTAAGTTCATGTGCTCCACTTAGGCGGCCCAGGGTTTCACTGGTTCGTATCCTGCATGCAGACATGGCACCAATCGTCAGGCCACGTGGAGGTGGCGTGCCACATGCTATAACCAGAAGGACTCACAACTAAAACATACAACTATGTACTGGAGGGGTTTAGGGAGAAAAAGCAAAAGGAAAAAAAAAGAAAAGAAGTTTGGCAACAGCTTTTAGCTCACGTGCCAATCTTTAGAGGAAAAAAAAAACAGTGAAAATGCTTTTAACCTTGTTGATCCCCTGGAAAGAACTCAGGGATGGCCAGGAGTATAAAGCCCCCACTTTAAGAACTGGTGGTTCAGAGATAGCTTTGGCGACTGGCAGACAGCAACACGTCACTGACAGGTTGTTCTGATTACTTCTCCTATAATCTTGTCCAGCCCAGAGTCTTTAATTAATTTGAGAGAGAGAGAGGGAGAAAAAGAAAGAGTGAGAAAGGTTGCTTGTGAAAGAAGAAAAACAAAACAAAGCCGAGTAAAACAATAGACTTGAAGCCTTTTCCCATGATATTATTCAAAATTTAAAACAGCAGGAAATGCATCTTCTGATTTATATTGTGCTCTATTCTGTGCATCACACAACAAAGGACAGGAGTGACCGCTAATAAATGGTAGTGGGAAAGGCCTGGGAAAGTGTTTGAAAGATACTTTTAAATATCAAAGATAGATGACCCCAAATTCTTATTTGAATGCAGACACACACATACATATCTCCAATGTAAGACAAATTTCCCGTTTTAGATAGACTTTCCAATTTGGGAATATCTCAAAGGGCATGCTTGATTCAAAAGCAGCCTTTCCTGGGTGACCCTCTGGGTGGTAAACTCCAGGGAATCTAAGAAGAAAGTAACAAAATTTTTCTCAGGACTCTGGGTCAAAAAGTCCTACACTGCCCCCCCCAAAAATAAATACATTAAAAACTCTCATTAAAATACCATTAATTGAGGCTAAAATGGCAATGGCCTAATATCCATCAACATTCTTTAAGGAAATAAAATTTTAAGAGAGTTTCTAGATGTGTCTGTGCCTTGTCTCAAAGGAATGCCCCCCAGCTGCCTCCATCCATTCATTTCATTGTCTAATAACCATTGTCTACTCAGCACTTACTACGGGACATGCTTGGGACTCAGACATCGCTCATGAGTAGGGGGCAGTGCAGTGTGCCCAGGGCTGGGGCCGGGGCAGTGCAGGGTCATGAAGGTGAGGAGAGGCAATGACTGATCCTGTGCAGGAGGGGTGCAGAGTGGCCAGGGAGGGTGTCCCAAAGGAAGTGATGCTGAGCACATCTTGAATGCTTGGGTCTCTGCTTGGATAGGAACCGATGCTCCAGGCAGAAGGAAAGACAAACACAGGGGCCTGGAGCTATGCCCATGAAGGTGTGTTTGGGAAGCAGTGAGAGTCACAAGGTCATTGTCATTTTGCCTCTGCCATCAGTAAGGTTAAAAGAGGCTGTGTGTGTTACAGAGTTTCCCCTGACCTCTGGACAGTTGGACAAGCCACAGGTGATGTCAGAGGTAATCTGTCCCAGCTGTGAATGAGACGTGAAGCTCCAGTGACCTCAAAGAACTCCCAAGGACGACTGGTTATGTCCCTTCCCTGAATCTCTCCTGCCCTGTGCAGAGCAGGGGCTCACCTCGGAGGTGCTCCTTCTGCACACGGAGCCAAATTGTGAATCCTTTGTCACAGGAAGAATTGTGAGGGTGGGGCAAACGCAGATCACGGAGCCCTGTCGTGATTGACCATCTAACGTTTGAAACTCTAATCTTAAATCAATTCACAGAAAAGATTTTCATCAGAGTGTCTTAACCTGAAGTCCACGGATAGCTTTCAGAAAACGTCTGTGAAGACGCTTTAATTTTATGCAGAGTTTTCCACATGCACGGGGGCAGGTTGGGGGCAAAGTCAGGCTTTATTTTTCACATATTTAAAAAGATACCCCTTACCCCCAGGTACTTGAGCTGCTTTGAGCTAGATGTAGGAGATTCAGAAATAAATAAACCTTAGTCTGTAGAACCAGTTTCACCACTTGACAAAACAAAGTCAAAATGTGAAAAGCACATAAACTTAAGTTCATATCCTAGACTGAAGTTAACTCTGTTACTTATTAACTGTGTGACTTCAGCCAATTACTCAACCTCTCTGTTTCCTTCTCTGTAATTACACCTACTCAGATTTTGGTGGGGGGAGAAGGTGTAACGGAGGAGGTTGAGGTCTAAAATAAAATAATATAAACAAATGTCTAGCATATAGTAGGCAATCCAATATCACACTTAATTATTTTTACTGTTATTGAGACTGATATGCAAGGGATGCCCAGGGAACAGAGAGGTTTTCTCAGCGAGTTCTTTTGGTGACAATATTTAGAGAATAAACAGTGTCTGGCTGGAGGCTTCTGTCTCCGTGTTTCTGGCAGTGTTGTTCTTGGCTGTCCCTGGCTGGTGGCTGTCTTTACCTTGAATTGCCCTAAGATTAGGATTTCTTGTAAACAGTGGCTTAATTATACATCTGCATCCTTTCACAATGCTGAGTTGCTCCCCCACAAACAGAGTCGTCCCTCTTGCTCCCGCTCAGAAGAGGGACTGGTAAGAACTGGCCTGATCGCCCTTTTTAAAGGGCGTTACCTCCAGCCCTCCAAGGGCGAGTGCAGAAAAGCTCCCGGATTCCAGGTCACACCACTAGGCACACCCACTTTCTCCCAGGGACCTTGTCGCAGGGACCTGCGTGGGCTCCACGTGGGCTTTTCGGGCAAAATGAGTGGTCAGAAGGAAGTACATCTGAGAAAGAAGCAGATAAGGTCACCAGGAAAAGTTTTACCACCCAACCGATGAGCTAGCCACAAATAAAAGGGAATTCCAGTCTGACTCATCACGGGCCCGGGGTAGATTCTTCCACTCATTAACTGCTGTGGCGAAGCTCTGAGCTTAGAGGAGCCCTCTGCGACTAGAGAAATCCCGTTCACCCTCAGAGCAAACATCACCTGCTTCCCAAAGTCTTACCTGAATCCCCAGACAGGTAGGTGTTCCTTCCTCTGAGGACTGACATGAGAACACACCCCTGCCGCAGCTGCCGTCCACGACAGCCTATTCGGCTGTTTCTCTTCCATCAGACCCTGATTTCCTTGCGCCCAGGCCCCGTGCCCTACGAATGCCCTATCTTCAGAGCCTAGCATCAATCTGATGGTGACAAGAGGGACAGAAGCAAAGAAGAAGCAAGGAAGGGATGGAGGGGGCAGAGGATGTCTGTCCTGGTTCCGGAGTGAGAAAGACTTGAGTTCCATCCCCGTCTCCACAAGGTACTTCGTGCAAATCCCCATCAAAGCATTGAACTTCTCTGAGGCTCAGCTTCCCGTCTCTGAAAGGGGAGCATGTGACTTGTCCTTCAGGATTGTTTTGGGGGATCAACCAAGATCAACACCCGAAACTGAAAATAAATGAGATTGAGGTAATACTGAGACAGCTTCCAATGAAGAAACAGTGTCCCACCCCCCACCCTCCCGAATTCTATTGTTTCCTAGGCTTTAACCCCAAAATGTTGATTGTGGCAGAATATCTACAGATAGAAGTTTCCACCCATTTGTGTTCAGCATCTATTGGCTTGCTCTGACGCTCCCCCACCCTTACCACGTGTTCTGGCAGAAACCCCAGGATGTCCTCTCATGTGGCTGCACCGTCACTGCCTGTGGTCAGGCCCCACCGTCTCTTGATAACTGTTGTATGTTCCCACCTGGGCTCCGGGACTCCAGTCCCTCTGCCCTCCTGGCCACCCTCCACCAAGCTTCCCAAGTGGTCTTCCTAGAACCTGAATGTCACTCTTGTGCTTAGAAACACCCATCAATTCTCCAATGTCATCAGAATTAAACCCAAACTCCCTGACACAGCCCTGCTTGTCTTTCTGGATGTGGCTCCTGTGAGGTGCGACTCTCCAACTTTCTCTCCTCTCACTTCCACAGCAATGCTGGCTCCCTGGAATCCCCAGTCGGCATCCCGTGTCCCTGGCTTGCTGGCATGGCTGTGGATTTTGTTGGGATCCCTTTACTCATCCATCCACCAGGAAGATTCCCACTCTCCTTGCAGACTCACCTCAAAGCGTTCTTTCTCTTGGAAAATTGGTTTCCTCCTAGACAGAATTCACTGCTCTGCGTATGAGATCTGTAACACCTTATGCATATCGCTCTCTTAGCTGCCACCTCCTTGCGTTGTAATGATTTTCTGATGTAGCCCACGCAGTCCTCGAGGACAAGCCCTGGGGCTTATTCTGGGTTGAATTCCCAGTTACATGTTAAGTGTGTGGATGAATAAATGAACTCACCTTGAATGCATCCCTCTTTTCTATAGATCATTGAGGTGTCTGTTCCCCTGAGAGGATTGCTGACTGACCTGTGAATTGGGGCCCGGTAACCCCTTTATTTCCCTGGCCTGGCTCCTCATCTTTCAATTGGTGTGGTCTTGCTCTTTCAGCCCCAAGTGGGAACTCTGTCCGTACTTCCTTTCCAGTTCTATCAGCCTCCCGCCCCTCATTGCTAGAATGCAAGCTTTTCAAGGGCAAGGATGGGGTCTTATCCACCCATGTACCCCCTACCCCAGTGTCCAGCATAGTGTTAGAGCCAGACTGTCATATCCCTCAGACCAGGTGTCTGACCTTCCTTAAAGTGTCTTCAGGGAACCAGAGAGCGGACTAAAAGGAGCCCGGTGTATGAAATGTCCATTTGGCCTGCAGGGCTGGGGTTCCCTTGGCACTCTCCCTTCACCACGTGCCATAAAATGACTCCATCCACATTCAGACTCCGCAGCCTTCTACCCAGCTCCCTGTTCACAACAGGTGGCCCAGTCAGTGCTATTCTCAATTTTCCTGCCTTTCTCTTCTCTTTTATTTTCTCCTTCCTTTTTTGAAAATGCAGCCACTGCAATAAATTAAACTTTCATGGCTCCATTTCCTTCTTTCCCATTGTGGAACCCTGACCTATTTCCTCAAGGAAATACTTTCAAAATCATAATTGAAACACAATATTTCATAGTAGAAACGGCAGGAGGAGAGTAATAGATTTAGTTCCCATTTCTGGTGGCAGACATGTTAATTACATTTTCTATTTCCTCTCATTACCATGAAGCATGTCTCCCAAAGGTCAGGCCAGCCTGCTTCTCTCTCTCCCTGAACCCACCCTCTCTCACACTCACAGCAGCCTGGGGCAAACCAGAGAGCACAAAACTGACTGTGTCACTCTTAGGTTTGAAAACCATCAGAGTTCCACCCCACACAAGTCTGGTTTCCTCGGTAGGGATCATAAGGTCCAAGGTTCCACCGTCCTACCTTAAGGGCTGGCCGTGCTGAGCCAGTGTAGTACCCTGAGTGCCTTCAGCCTCTTCCTGCCCCTGGCTTTCAATAGGCTGTTGCCTTCGCCAGGGACACCTCACCCCTTGAGCGTGTCAGGAAGATCACTACCCATCTATGTTCTCTTCCCCGTGCACCTGCCCCGCGGACAGGGCCAGCTCCCCACCTCATTCTCGCATCAGAAGGCAGAAATCATGGTTTTCTTCTCCAAGTCCCACCAAGCTTAATGCTGCCATTAAGCCCTTATGCCCTACATTATGATTGTCTTTTCCCTTTCCATACTCTTATCTCCTGCCTCCAATGCTCCCAGCAATGAACAGGCAAGCACAGTAAACTGCCAGCAATTTGAGGTCAAGGACTTTGTTCACTTATTTCTCAATTATCGGCATGTAGCTCAGGGCTTGGTTCAGAGTAAGTGTGCATTGAAATATTCAAAAATATGGAGTGGATAAAAATCATCCTTGGGGCTGGCCCTGTGGCCTAGTGGTTAAGTTTGTGCGCTCCACTTCGGTGGCCCAGGGCTTCGCTGGTTTGGATCCTGGGCACGGACATGGCACCGTTCATCAGGCCATGCTGAGGCAGCATCCCATAGAGCACAACCAGAGGCACTCACAACTAGAATATGCAACTATGTACCGGGGGCATTGGGGAGAAGAAGGGAAAAAAAAAGATTGGCAACAGATGTTAGCACAAGTGCTAATCTAAAAAAAAAAAAAAAGATCGTAAATATTAAAACAAAAATCATCCTATTTTGTTTAAAACAAAAATAAACAAATGGTGGTATCATGAAGCCATTATTAAGGCTAATTTATTTCAAATGTAAAAGTAGGAAGAATTGATATTTCCAAGAATCGTTGAACTGATTAGGGTAGCAATTATGATTCAAGACCCGAGAAAGAGATACACAGAGCTATGTACAGCCAGACTATTCAGATGGAGACCCTCTCCTGAGCAGGAGGTGGGGGAAGATTTCTCAGAGTCCTTTCTTGCTGACTTAAATCTTCCCCACGCTGTAGATCCTAGAGCAGGGGCCACTTCTGCCCTGAAGCAGCACCTTGCAAAGCCCCGTTGAAGCCTGAGACTAAAGACAAATGGAAGAGTGTGTTCCTCCATATGTACTCACCAAAGCGTTAGCCTATATTTTGATCCAAGTAGAAAAATCTTATGAAAACTGACTACAGATACCAAAAAAATGACTACATATAAAGCCCTGCATTGCCCCCTCTGTTTTCCCTTCACGGTTAACCCTCAGAAGCCCACCCAGCACAGGCCGGGAGGCCAACGTGACTTTGGAACCTCAGGCTGATTGGGAAAGACTGTCGTCATTGAACAATAATGCAGGGTACCATGAATAATAATGCAGGGTAGCACGAAAGAAATAAAACCCAACAGCCTGTCTTTTCTTGAACTTTGCTATTTTGTTCATCAAGGGTTTGGGGATTAATTTTTATTTTCTAAAATATTGCATTCAAATACTTACTTTGATTTCTTAGTTTTTTTGGTGCATACTTAATTTTGCACCCAAGATGAATGCTTTCGTGGCCTCTACCTCATCCCATGCCTGCCCTTAAACTCCCCCTAATGACCTCAGCCCAGTCCCCCTCCTCCTCTTGCTCATTTTCCTCAAGGAGCATCCAGTCCAATGGGGAAGGCAAGCTTGTTAACAGTTAACTATTTTTTGCAAGGGAGAATGAATGAATGCACCAAAAACCAGGCATTGCTGATGTGCGGATGCGAGCTGGGAAGGGCAGCACCAAGCACAACTATGTATTTCAGGGAAGAGGGGAGGCAGAATAAGGCATTGGAATTGGGGCTTGAAAGATAAATAGATCTCTAAAAAATCAAGAAGGAGGAAGGGGATTCTAGATGGAGGGAATAGCATGAACAAAAGCTTACAGGTAAGACAGTTCAGGAAGGTTTGTAGGTGAGCAAAGTCTGGAAAGTTTCTGTAATATGGATGTGGAATGTTGTGCCGGACAAGGAGGCTGGGCTTGACTGACAGGCTCCAGAGCTGGCCTGACTCTGTGACACAGAGGATTCCAGGTTTCTAGAATGGACTCAAAGGTCAGAACTGGTTCTATTAGAAGTGGGCCCTCCTCAGGAAAAGAAGGGGCTCCTCACTGTGCATATGCACTGCTGACAAGGTCAGCTCCCCCTCTGCAGGCTCCAAGGGGGGCACTCTCAGCCATGCTGGCTTCATTCTTCTGGAAGCCCAGGGCCATCCACTGTCCAGGTCAGGAGCTGCCTACCGGAGGAAGGAGGGAAAGGTTTTGTTTCTCAGGACGATGCTCACAGAAATGAGGCTGCTGGTAGAACAGACCTTTTGAGAGCTTTTGGGGGAAACCTGGGATGCAATGAGGAACGAGTTGTAACAAGATGAGGACTTCCAGATCCTCAACTCCCTACGCAGTGGCACCTGCAAGACAGGACTCCATGCTCGCACGGCAGAGAGACTGGCTGGGCTCGGTTCTTGGGGGCCTGTGTTCTCACTTGCCCAGTGTCATCCTATCATCAAGGGGTGAGTTTTCTCCTGTTCCCAAGCTGTAATGGACAGCAGGCCCATGGCAATACAGTAAAGTCAGGAGGGGCCTCTTTCTGCTTTGCTGGATGATGTCTGGGAGCACTCCTCTCGGGAGAGTTTGGCAGACATGCCACTTCATTCCACTCTTGGCTTCCTTCCTCTGTCACACAGCAGGTGGCTTTCAGAAAGCACATTCCACCTCTTTTCGCATCTCTGGTGTAAGTCCAGCTGCCTCATCTCTGGTCCTCACTGTTAGTTCTATCGTTAGCTCACTTCCCCCTGGGGCCCAGCATCTCAGACTGCACAGGGGAGGGTTGAAAACAGCTGTTTACCAAGCACTCTCTGGGCTGGGCACAGAGCTGTCCCCTTTCTCCTGTGCATTTTACTGAAATAGCACCAGTACTGAACACTGGAGAGTTTTAGTCCTTTTTTTACAAACAAGGAAGCAGAGGTTTGCAGAGGAAGTAATTTGCCTAAGCCCATCCAGTTAGAACCAGGTTCTCTGGCTCCTAAGCCAACACCTTTTCTTTTTTAAGGCACCATTTTATTCTTGAGGTACCTAGGCCTTTCCTGGAGAGAAAATGAGACAGATAATAAAAAAGGAAAAACTTCT